TATATATATATATATATATATATATATATATATAATATACTGTATATACTGTATATGTATGTATGTATATATGTATGTATATATATAAAGGATTCTAAAGCAATGAAAATACATTTCTATATAGAGAATATATAACACATCAACATATCATCATCATAATTGAAATATACAAGACTTGGAAAGTTCTATAATGGCTTCATCTGTATATTTGTTTTTTTAATCATGGAAACACTTATACATGAAGTTACAGAATTATATTCCTGAAGGACAAATGAAATATGGCTTAATTATTTACAATAGTTTGGTTCTAGAATTTTAAAAACTGCAGTCTTATTGTAAATTAAGTTCTGTAACTTAAATAGGGAAAATTCTTATGCATTTTATATTCTCAACACAAGCACAGATGCATTTCTATATTTGTGTGTTCTGTTTTTCCTTAAACAAATTTATTTTGACACAATTTCCTAGAAAAATGCATGTCTTCAGATGCATAAAGCTTATTTTGAGATGCCGAGCTATGCTGGAGAAGGGATTGTAAAACATTATAGAAAAACAATTTTTGCTTAATGATCTGTTTTATTTTCCAGCTACACCGATAATTTTCATTTATGCACCAGTCCAGTGTATAACAGCATACTTCCATATAACCACTGTTTACCATTTGGAAAATAGTACCATGCTTTAATTAGACCCTGAGCCAATCTGGATGTCATCTCAGCTGTGTAAACCATATGACGAATAAATATTTGGCCTGTATACGAAATGTTTGTTCAAGGTGAGAATAATCCAGGAAATCCCTAATTAGCCCTTATTTCACATTTCATTTGAATCAGGAAACTAAAATTACCAGTTTGGAACTTCATGTAATAGCCTAAGGATTCTAGTTGTTGCAGAACTGATAAACATATTTTTCCAGTCCAGACAAAAAAAAGGAAACTATGCTTAATTAGAAACTTCATTTGGTTTAAGCTTCTAAAAGCTCACTACGTTAGCTAATTAAACCAAGGCAGACTCTTCTGAAACAAATTTCTTAATTTGAAAAAGTAACCGACTTTTCTGTACAATTAATATCTGCATTGAAGTGAAGAAAAAAATGGTACAATGAGTTATACCAATTGATGCAACTGACAGCTAGTGTTTAATGGTGCCAAAATAGCTTTAATTAGAAAAGTATGACATGTTCATAATTCTGACTTGATGCATTAAGTGAAAGTGGGACCTGATAATAACATTATATTAAATGCAGATGCAGATAGATACTACACTTGATCTTAGCCAAAAGGCCGAGAAGCGGATGCAGATAGAAGAAAAGAGAGCAATGCTTACATATAACCAATTCTCAGCAATTTAAATAAAGCCCCCCCCCCCATGTTAAAGGTTTTTGTACCTGTTCTATACACTCCTTGCTCAATGGTGGAGATGGAAAAGAAGCAAAGATTAGCACCCCAACATAGAGATACGTAAAACTGACTAAAAAGTAAGCAATTGAAAGATCTCTGACCTGTAGTTAAAACACAAGAAACAGCAAACAAATAAAATCAGTTTGTTTCAATTATTATATGCAAAATTAGTTACAGGACAACTCCTGGAACAGTTAAATCATAGAACAATAATTCTTATTGTTTGAATTAATTGTTCCCTGTGCCCCAATAAATGGAAAATATATTGTTTTTAATTATTAAGTAGATACAATAATACAGTGACTTTGGGACTGTGGGTTAAAACAGTTACACATACACACACACTTACATACACACAAAACCACAATTTAGCATACATTGAAGGGCATAAAGAAAAAAAGCTATTACAAATTTGGAAATCAAAGCTAATTAAGCCATCACGTTCTCCAAAAGGAGCCTATTTGGACCGGGCCCCTTGTTAAAAACCAAACTTTTTCTTTTCCAAAAATGTGGATACCAAATGACATATGGAAATTATACAAGTGTCTTCTTTTATGGGATGCTTTTTATAGTATTTAGCTGGCAAGAAGATGCTTCAAATCTAGCAGTGCCTTTTACTTTTCCACACATTAAAGTACAATGTGGGTAAATTACAATGCTGGATAAAGGCTCTGTTCCCTTGATGAATGAAGGAAAAATCTTCCAGATTTCATGGCTTACAAAAGAGAGTGAATTAAGGGCAAGTGATAGAACTATGGGGAGCGTTTGTTAATAAAGTCGAGATGGCAACATGCTAAAAGGGGGCAGGGCTTTGATCACACAGTTGCAGCTGCCATTTTTTCACCTCCCAATTGTAGATGTTTCTGTCACTAATTCTCAACTACCCTATCCTTACAATATTATTGTACAACTAAAAGGGACAGAAAGGAAACCATGTGCTTCATTGTAAATTCCTTAAAGTGGAATAAGAAGCAAGTTCAGTTTTGTTTATTCTTTTTTTAAAAATAAAATCTTTATTTTCAAACAAACACAAAAACACAAGACATATAACATAAAAACCTCTTCAACTGCATACAGTGTGTCGATTGGTTACAAAGTCTTTCTGCGTCCTTTCCATAGTCATCACTTGAGCTTTATCAAAATTCACATATTGTCAATC